TACAGAAAAATTTAAACCAGTTACAGTCTTAAAAATGACAACAGAAAATAGGATTGAAAAATTGAAAAAAGAAATTTCTGAAACATATTCTGAAAATCCATTAGAAAAATGGAATATAGATAAAGTAAAGGCAAGAATAGAATTAACCAATCCAGATACTATTGTTAGAGTTAAACCTATGAAATATAGTGTTGATGATCAAAAAGAATTTAGAAATCAGATAAAAGAATTGTTAGAAGCTAAATTAATTAAGCCTAGTAAAAGCCCTCATAGTAGCCCAGCCTTTATGGTTAAAAAACATAGTGAGATAAAAAGAGGAAAAGCCAGAATGGTAATAAACTACAAAAAGTTAAATGAAGTTACCAAGTTTGATGGATACTACTTACCAAATAAGGATACCCTTATTAAACAAGTACAGAACAAAAAGATATTTTCAAAATTTGATTGTAAGTCAGGGTTTTGGCAAATCATGCTTACAGAAGAAAGTAAACCACTAACTGCATTTAGTACCCCCAATCCTTTAGGACAATATGAATGGAATGTAATGCCATTTGGGTTGAAAAATGCACCACAGATATTTCAAAGAAGAATGGATGAGGTAATCAAACCAATTACTCATTTTTGTATTGCATATGTAGATGATTTACTTATTCATTCAAATAATATTGATGAACATATTGAGCATCTTGAGAAATTCTGTTATATTATGAAAAAACATGGTATTACACTTTCTCAAAAGAAAGCTGAGTTAGCTAAAACAGAAATAGAATTCCTAGGATTATTTATAAAAGAAGGAGAATTGCAATTGCAATCCCATATTGGAGAAAAACTTCAAGAATTTCCTGAAGAAATCAAAGATCAAAAACAATTACAAAGCTTCCTCGGAATATTAAATTATGCTGAAGGATTCATTGAAAACTGTGCTAAATTGAAAAATTATTTTCCAAAATTAAGAAAAAATATAATGTTGTCTTGGGAAGAGCAAGATTGTGAAAATATAAGAAAGGTAAAAGAAGAATTAAAGGTATTACCCAAACTTGTAATACCCCAAGAAGAAGATTTTTTTATCCTGGAAACTGATGCTTCAGATTACTACTGGGGAGCAGTGTTAAAGGTTAAAAAGAATCATAAGGAATATAAGTGTGAAAAAGATTGTTCTTGTCCTGAAATACTTGCAGGTTACACATCAAGAACATTCAAAGAAGTTGAAACAAGATATGAGACGAATAGAAAAGAACTCATTGCTGTAAAAAGAGGAGTTCAAAAATATGAAGATTATTTATTATCAAAGAAGTTCTTGATCAGAACTGATAATACTCAAGGATGGAGCTAGAACAATTAAGGACGAAAGTCCAGATACTTGAGATAAAAGTTTCCTATTTGGAAACCCAAATTCAAAATATCCAAGATAGCCTTCGAGGCAAGAATTTAGCCCAAGAGGCAGAAGTTACTTGTACCAAAACTAGTATCCCTTCGCAGGGACTTGTGAATACTAGCACTCTTCCCGAGGATAAAGGGAAAGAAAAGAAAGTAATAGGAACCCCTTCATAGGGAATACTCAAACCTATTACTGGTAATAAAGATATTCTAGATATTAAAAAGGAAGGTAGCTCTTCACAGAGCCAAATTCAATCTAAACTTTCTATTGGAAGGATAGATCCTAAAGATATTGTCAAAATATGCCACGAAGCAAAAATGCCTAGAAAAGATAGTTATGAAGAAGTAACATTGTTTATTGTTATCTTTAACATTCTATCAGATTGGTATTTGGAAATAGGAAAGTGGATGAAGACTCTCCACTATTCAAAATACAACAAGATAAATTTCTATCCAGGAGCACCAGCCAATTGGGTTCGAAATTGCTTTGAGATAGGAAATATACTTTGTATATATCCAAGCAAGGATCTTAAAGAAATAGCTCAGCTTTCAGCCAACATCAGAAAAGCTGTCAAGAGATATACTGAAG